AATATATTTGAGATCATGTGGGATGTATAAATAATTCAACAGGTCCATCCATAGTTTGAAATAGGGGGGTGCGTGCTCCTAGCGGTCGTGCAAATTGTCTACGGGGGAAAGGAAGAGGGGGTGGGGAAGCTCAGACTGACTCCATAAAAAATATTCGCTGGGGGGGGGGGGAACACTCAAAGTTTCCGGGCGCCCAGTTTCTGGCGGTGTTTCACAGTTCTGTTCATCGTTGCGTACGTTGATGTAACACCCAGGTTCGTTGATGTCACACTCAGGTTTGTTGATGTCACACCCAGGTTCGTTGATGTCACACCCAGGTTCGTTGATGTCACAACCAGGTTCGTTGATGTCACACCCAGGTTCGTCTTTAGTTGACTACAGGAGGAGTCAATGAGAAGGGTATAGACGAGGAGAAAGATGGTCATGTTGATACTGATGATGATGTCTTGCTTCCTGCATGCTTCTCACGTGGCTCTGATGCTTGAAAATAAAATGTCTGGAAACAACTCTTCTTGTCAATGTCCTGTCTTTATTGTGATATTTCAGTTTTGTCACAAATAACCTCAATGATATTCTATATATTTTATTTTATGGTTAGATACTCTTGAGGTCGCGTAGTGGTCTTCATCTCTAATTACTTTGCTAACTGGCTCTAGTGTCTGTAACTCCACCTGGCTTCTAGGGCTGTCTGGTACTAACGTCATAATCGTAGACTCTAACGTCTAAATGGTGTTTCTACCTAATGTGTCCCTGCTAACCATGGATCCATGTATCTTGGGTGTTGTCTCTGTAGCTTGATGTCGTTTCATGTTTCCTCTCTAGTATCTGTCTACGATGCTCCATGTGACTGGTTCCTTTGCTTCTAAGTCTCAACGACTGAAGGTTTTATTTGAGGGTCTATGTCACTAGTCCCTCCACTTCTAAGTCTCGTAGACTAAAGGATTACCCAAGTGGATTCTTGCTCATTATTTATATTGAGATGCTGGAATGAGTTGTATTTGTTTTCTGCTCAATTTGAATGCTTCTAGAATATTCTTGTACGCTAAAACTTATTTACTTGGGATTTTCTAAATACGTCACCATAAAGGAGGTCTGACGAGCAAGAGAACCACATGCGTACAAACATCTAATGCAAGAGACAGGCATGCCCAGTGTGCCTTGATGTCCATTCTTAAATTCTTAAATTAGTTATCAGTATGTTATCCTCGATAGACCACATCTTTACTCTTAGAATAATTGTTGAAGATTCTACAGAATTCCAGTCGAAATTATTGATCAACTTTGTCGACTTTCAAAAAGCCTTCGACAGTATCCATCGTCCAACACTCTGGAAATTGCTTAACATCTATGGTTTCCCCATCAAATATATCAACATCATAAAATCTTTTTATAATGAAACACGATGCTGTGTAAGAACTGATTCCGGCAATTCTGACTGGTTCCCGGTGGAAACAGGAGTGAAGCAAGGCTGTGTCCTATCGCCGATGCTTTTTGGTATAGCAATCGACTGGGTCATGCGCAAGTGCATAAATAACGCAAATTTAGGCATTACATGGGTTGACAAAATTCTGGAAGACCTAGACTTCGCCGACGACATAGCACTCCTGAGTTCAGAACACACAGACGCCCAAGAAAAAATAAATCGACTCCAGAATTTCTCAGAACAAATTGGACTCCAAATTAACACCGCAAAAACAAAAATTCTAGACCTTACCAACAGTTCAGTTGATATCACGCTGAACAACAACAGCCTTGAAAAAGTCAACAGTTTCACCTATCTAGGGAGCAAGATGTCATCTACAGGAGATACCGCACCAGAAATATCATTTAGAATAGCACTGGCATCTAGTGCCTTCAATAAACTGTCTAACATCTGGAAATCAAAGACACTTAGCAAACACACAAAACTCAAGATCTTCAATTCTTGTGTGATCCCAGTACTAACCTATGGATGCGAGAGCTGGAAATCAACGAAAACTCTAGACACAAAATTAGACAGTTTTGAAAATAAATGCCTTAGAAGAATACTAAATTTCAAATGGTCAGATTTCCGAACCAATACACAAATAAGACAAGAATCCAGGCAAGAGTATGTGTCTAATTTTATACGAAAACGCCGCTGGAACTATGTCGGCCACGCCCTTAGAATGGATAAATCAAGACTTCCTTACCAAGCCCTCATTTAGACACCACAGGGGAAAAGATCTCGTGGAAGACCAAGGGAAACCCTACGTAGAACTATCATCAGGGAAGGCTCGCTCATGGGCCACTCAAACATCCAAGACCTACAACGGATTGCAACGGACCGCCGTGCATGGAGAGTCATGACCTCTGCCCTATGTGCCGCACTCGACACAAGAGGAAAGACTAACTAACTAACTAATGTTATCCTCTACTTCATTCGCCTTTAAAGAGACTGTTGACACGTAGTGTTTTGGTTTACATACTTTTTTAGAAACCAGTTGCAAACTATTGAAAATTACAATTTCCTAGTAAAATCCCAACATAAAATGACCTAGTAAAATCCCAACATAGAATTACTTAGTAAAATATCAACATAAAATCGCCTAGTAAAATCCTAACGTAGAATTACCTAGTAAAATCACAACATAAAATCGTCTAGTAAAATGACACAGCCAAAAATGCTGGGGAGGGAATTGTAGCGTCGTGTCAAGGGTAGGAAACAAATTTAATGCGTTTATCTTGTCACATTTCCGTTTCCTGAAAGCGAACTGTTGTTACCATTATACCCTCGCTGAACTTGACTTATTTCTATTTAACTGATTTCAACTGTTGTGATGTACGTGCTGAACTTACTTTCAAGCCGTTGGTAAAACCATCGATGATCTCTGGGTGTTTCATGATGTAATCATATGCTTCAGCTGATGTGTTGACCCACTTGTCGTGTTCGACTTTCTTTCTCTCCGCTAGATAGAAATCAAACAATTCATAAAGTAGAAAAAAATACAGGCAATAAAATGGCAAGCAGCCGTTCTGAGACACTAGTGATGTCTTCGTTCCACTGTTAGGATATTTAGTGACGTCGGTCGAGTTACTTTAGTGTTGATTCTCCGTGGGGACTCCAACTGTGGGCGCCGAATCCCTTTTCCCTTATTTAGGGGCCAGGGCTTGGGGTCTCAATGCTGGTTTAAGTGCACAGTTATTGCCATTATTATTACTTTTGATTCCTAAACCAACTGGAACACACCCTAACAAACCTGTTAAACTAGCAGAGGTAATGAACGTTGTGAAACTAAAAGATAAAGAAGTTGCTTGAGAAATAGACAGAGGAGTCAGTATCTCCTTCAACACCCTTACAGAAACAAACAGCATAGAAGATGAGTGGCAGACTTTTAAAACCTGTAACATGAACACAGTGAAAGAAAACTGGTCTCAAAAGGATGGGCACTCATAGAAAACATACAATGTCTTGGAATGAAAATGTTAACATTTATATCCATGAAAAAAAATGTTTTATAAGAGACACAAAAAAAAAATGAAGACAACATCAGCTATAGAAAAGCGAGAAGAGACAGCAAAAAGAATCTGAACGCGGCAAAATCAGAATTTTGGGCAGATTATAGAAAAAAAATTAGCAAAACTATGCACTGAGTGGCCAAAAAAGTTTTACAGAAGTGTCAAAGCAATGAGTCTCAGAGAAGACAAGTTTAACCCCTTCACTGTTATAAACAGCAAGAGTAAGAAACCACTTACTAGCAGTCAAGATATTAAAGATGGATGGAACAGTTTAGTGAGCTGTTAAACTGTGGAACACCGGATGAAGTGCCAAACCAAAATAAATTTGCAAAAGACGATGAATCAAAGACCCTGGAATCTGAAGTTGAAAATACTCCTAAACAAAGTACAAACCTAGGCAGCCGGAATAGATGGTATTACAACAGAAATGCTTCTTGCATGTAAGACAACATCAACAGTTTGCTTGACCAGAATCTTGAACATGGCTAGGGAGACACGGAAAGTTCTAAGTGACTGGCAGAGAGCATTCATAGTAAAAAGTTGGAAGGATAAAGGGGACAAAATGAGACTGTGAAACACACAGAGGCATCTCCATTTTGAGCTCTACTGGAAAGACTTTTGCAAAAAGATTGGAACTTACAGCTCGACCAGATCACCAGTTATGTAAGAGACAGCTCGGTTTCAGAAAGGGAGAGAGATGTATAGATGCAAGTGACACAGAGAACGCTTACCAGAGTTGTACAGGGACAGGTGACACAGAGAACACATACCAGAGCTGTACAATGACAGTTGACATAGAGAGCACATACCGGAGTTGTACAGAGACAGGTGACACAAAGCACATACCAGAGTTGTACAGGGACAGGTGACACAGAGAACACATACCAGAGCTGTACAGGCACAGGTGACACAGAGAACACATACCAGAGCTGTACAGGGACAAGTAACACAGAGAAAACTCACCAGAGCTGTACAGGGACAGGTAACACAGAGAACACATACCAGAGTTGTACAGGGACAGGTGACACAGAGAACACATACCAGAGCTGTACAGAGACAGGTGACACAGAGAACACTCACTAGAGTTGTACAGAGACAGGTGACACAGAGAACACATACCAGAGCTGTACAGAGACAAGTGACACAGAGAACACATACCAGAGCTGTACAGGGACAGGTAACACAGAGAACACATACCAGAGTTGTACAGAGACAGGTGACACAGAGAACACTCACCAGGGTTGTACAGGGACAGGTGTCACATAGAACACATACCAGAGCTGTACAGAGACAGGTGACACAGAGAACACTTACCAGAGTTGTACAGAGACAGGTGACACAGAGAACGCTTACCAGAGTTGTACAGAGACAGGTGACACATAGAACACTCACCAGAGTTGTACAGAGACAGGTGACACAGAGAACACTTACCAGAGTTGTACAGAGACAGGTGACACAGAGAACACTCACCAGAGTTGTACGGAGACAGGTGACACAGAGAACACTCACCAGAGTTGTACAGAGACAGGTGACACAGAGAACACATACCAGAGCTGTACAGAGACAGGTAACACAGAGAACACATACCAGAGCTGTACAGAGACAGGTGACACAGAGAACACTCACTAGAGTTGTACAGAGACAGGTGGCACAGAGAACACTTACCAGAGTTGTGCAGAGACAGGTGACACAGAGAACGCTCACTAGAGTTGTACAGGGACAGGTGACACAGAGAACACTCACCAGAGTTGTACAGGGACAGGTGACACAAAGAACACTCACCAGAGTGTACAGAGACAGGTAACACAGAGAACGCTTACCAGAGTTGTACAGGGACAGGTGACACAGAGAACACTCATCAGAGTTGTACAGGGACAGGTAACACAGAGAACACATACCAGAGCTGTACAGGTAACACAGAGAACACTCATCAGAGTTGTACAGAGACAGGTGACACAGAGAACACATACCAGAGTTGTAGATGGGAATCCCAGCTTTAGAATGTTGACCACTGACGGCCATGAGCCTGGAGTAGCCCTCTGTGTCGAATCTAAGTCGGCACAAGTTGGACCAGCTTTTGTCGGACGCCGCTGTTCCTGGAAGGACAAGGCAGACATACAGTTTAGTCAGGGAAATAGCACCAACATAGCAATACAGACACATGTATTAAATATTGCATATAGAAAACAACGACGGACATAAATCAGACCACCTATGAATGCAGTCAATTAATTATCTGCCATTCCAAGCCTATGGAGTTGAACACATTTTAATTGAAGCATCTAGTGTCGATTTTGACCGTTTATTCAATAGTACTATTCACAAAACCTCTTAGGAAAACAAATATATAAGAACAGTTCTGACAGTTACACTCGTAATCCGCCCAGAATGCGACTTGATTTTCATTTTTATTGTAAAGCCCCACTCTGAATATAACCTACGGGTTTAATGGGGTTTTTTATAATTGCGCTGGGACGTTTCTCATTCGAATTGTGGCACTTTGTTTCTGTTGGCGTTTATTACTTGTTGTTCGGTCCTGCTAGGGTTGAAGGTCACTGACTGACTTGACCAAATTATATATACATATTGAGACTGAAGCCTTTAAGAACGAGCCTGACTACACCTTTAAGAACGAGCCTGACTACACCTGTCAGGACGAGTCTGACCAACACCTATGGGAACGATTCTGACCCATTTATATACACATTTTAACTCAGTTACACCTTAGAGATGCCGTGACTAGTATTATTGAATAAAGCGGTCAAAATCGACACTACATGCTTTAGTTAAAATGTGTATTTAAATCTCGCACTAATGAAGACATAACTCAACCTACCTTTAATAAAACTGAACTCTTCAGTTGACCCTTCGTGACCCTTGCATTCTGCCATCCACACCAGAAAGAGGTCATTGCCGAAACCTTCCATTGAGATTGTCAGAGGGGAGGCTTGTCCGCCGATGGTGTCCCTGAGTGGAGGCTCAATTAACTTCTTGCCAGTTTTGCCGTCTATGACAGTTGTCTGTTGGGATCACATGTTAACTTTATGTTCTTGGACGTGTTTGTCTGTTGGGATCACATGTTAACTTTATGTTCTTGGACGTGTTTGTCTGTTGGGATCACATGTTAACTTTATGTTCTTGGACGTGTTTGTCTGTTGGGATTACATGTTAACTTTATGTTCTTGGACGTGTTTGTCTGTTGGGATCAAATGTTAACTTTATGTTGTTGGACGTGTTTGTCTGTTGGGATCAAATGTTAACTGTATGTTCTTGGACGTGTTTGTCTGTTGGTGTCAAATGTTAACTTTATGTTCTTGGACGTGTTTGTCTGTTGGGATCAAATGTTAACTTTATGTTGTTGGACGTGTTTGTTTCTTGGGGGATGAAATGTTAACTTAATGTTAGACATGTTTGCCTGCTGGTGAAGAAAAAGTTAACCTAAGGATATACATCTTTGTCTGTTGGGGCGTGAAACCTTAACTTAATGTTGGACATGTTTGTGTGTTGAAGGGTGAAATGTTAACTTAATGGTTAGACATGTTTGTCTGTTTGGGGTGGGAAGGGTTGGGGGGGGGGGGGGTAAATGTTAACCTAATGTAAGACGTGTTTGTCAGGTGGTTGGGGGGGGGTGTTACCTTAATAATACACAAATAACGTTTCGGCCGGCAGCCTTTGTCAAACATGAAGTGAAGTAAACAAAAATTACAAACAGAGAAGTGTTGTATTTGTTTGTAAGGGTTTAAACGTTACTTCTACTGGTCAGACATGATCGTCTATATGTTTTAAGGGTTAAAATATTACTTTAACTGGTTATACATGATCGTCTTTATGTTTGTAAGGGTTAAAATATTACTTTACCTGGATAGACATGATTGGTTATTTGTTTGTAATGGTTAAAATATTATTTTAACTGGTAAGACATGATCGTCTATTTGTTTGTAAGGGTTAAAATAAAACTTTAACTGGTTAAACATGATCGGTTATTTGTTTGTAAGAATTAAAATATTACTTTAACTGGTTAGAGATGATCGTCTATTTGTTTGTAAGGGTTGAAATATTACTTTATCTGGTAAGACAAGATCGTCTAATTGTTTGTAAGGATTAAAATATTACTTTACCTGGATAGACATGATTGGTTATTTGTTTGTAATTGTTAAAATATTACTTTAATTGGTAAGACATGATCGTCTATTTGTTTGTAAGGATATAAATATTACTTTAACTGGTTAGAGATGAAAGTCTATTTGTATGTAAAGGCTGAAAATATTGCTTTAACTGGTTAGACATGATCGTCTATTTGTTTGTAAAGGTTAAAAATACTACTTTAACTGGTTAGACATGATCGGTTATTTGTTTGTAAGGGCTAAAATATTACTTTAACTGGTTAGACATGATCGTCTGTTTGTTTCTAAGGATTAAAATATTACTTTCACTGGTTAGAGATGATCGTCTATTCGTCTGTAAGAGTCGCTGTCTCTGGTAACTAAAAGCCGTTGGACTCCTGCTCTGAAGGCTGTGAGTTCGATGCAGCAACTCAGTTCCTCGGTTTTCTATCTGAGTTGCTTCGGAGATCTTCGGAGCCTAGTTGCTGGAGTTAGACAGTTGGTCGCATGTACAGCGCGCTCATGGAAGACCAGCGGCTCAGCGAAAAGAGAGCAAGCTATGTGCGATAGAAGCTGGCACAATAAATGATATCCTCACGTCTTCAAACACGTTTCGTCATTCTCAGTAATATACAAGTAATTTAATTATAATTATTTTAATATGATTGCGTTTTGTCTTGTTTGTTTGATTTCATGACAACTTTGGTATTACTGCAGCTGTATTACAGGAGAACATGTTCTTATGTGGTTAATCCCCATCAGGGAAACCGGATGTTGCGTCCTTGGGGATCGAGAGCTCCGCCCCTAACACGCTTCTGGGATCGTGACCAATTTATGAGGTAGAGAAAAACAGCAACACGATTGAGCACACACATCAAATAGGGAAGTACAACACATTTGACCTGGATACAATTGACAGACCTCAGAAAAATAGTAGACCGGATATCCGGGTCCATGGGCGTACTTGACCATGAAGTCTGGGACATCATCATCATTGTAGAATCCCACCGCCGGGGTGCTGGAAGATACAGTGCGGATGAGAAACTGTTGCAGAATTGATTACACAGAGCATTATTGTCAGTCTAACATGTATTCGTTGCTCTGTAAATAAAATACTTTCCCTGTCTTGAATAAAGTCAAAGTTGCTTGTGTCAGATCGGGTTTTATCCTACTGCCTGGATCTATCACTTGGTTGGAAGGGAGGGGGGGGGGGGGGATCATTCACTTTCCTACTGTCTGGATCTATCACTTGGTAGGTGGGGGCAGTTTATCCACTTTCCTACTGTCTGGATCTATCACTTGGTGGGGCGGGGGGAGGGGGGCAGATCATCCACTTTCCGACTGCCTGGATCTATCACTTGGTGGGGGGGGGGGGCAGATTATCCAGTTCTTCCTACTGCCTGTTGAATGTATCACAACCAGAATAAGCCAGGAACTACTCTCGACTGAGGTAACACTACTCAAGGAGGCCACCCAAAAGCTGCAGACAGAAGTGACCCAGAAAAGACACAAGATTGAGGAGAAAGAGAGGGCCAACAGGGAGGCTACCAGGCAGCCGTCCACTCAAAGCGAAAACCAGGATGATGCCACAACCAGTAAGAAAGTCAAGAAAGCGGCAACCGATAGGGCAATCTCCGAGGCCGACCTCCAAACGATGCTTGAAGACTTTAACAAACGAGTACACCCGCACCAGCTAGCGATGGAAAAAGACGGCAGCCGCTATGTGATCAACTACGACTGGAAGGAGCTCGAAAAGAAAGACCCATCACCCAAAGAAACAGAAAAGCGCCGAAAACGGCAGATTTCACGATGAATTGAACGCTGCCTTTAATCAACTGCGCGACCAGGCAAAAACAAAGGAAACTTGGCACGCCCAACTGAACAGGCTATCGCCAGTTCTAAAACCTCTAAAGAGAACCCACTGAATACGCCACCATCTTCACGGACAGCTCCACAACGATCGCCAGATTTGCTAGCAGAGGACAGCCACGATGAGACCCCGCCCATCCCCGTTCCAGGCCGCCCCAGGCAAAAATGGCAGCCCTTTTTAGGGTTGCCAAATCCACTCCAAAAAGCCGGACTACACCCGCCAAGCCTGATCGAGCAGACATTATGCAGCAGCAAATAAACCTAACTTAGGCGAAAATGTTTGCCACACACCGAATTTAATCAGATAGCAAAGAAACCGTCTTCAATAAAGCAGACCCTCGGGCAGCTGAAAAAAGACAAAATTTGACATTTTTGTTTGGTTTTAACGATTACGATTACCTGTATATGGAGGTTAGAAGCCAGCTCGATGACAACAAAGTAGATGATCAAGCTACCTGTATGTGAAGGTGAGAAGCCAGCTCGAAGATTAAAAAGTATATGATTAAGTTACCTGTATGTGGAGGTGAGAAGTCAGGTCGATGACAACAAAGTAGATAATCAAGTTACCTGGGTGTGGAGGTGAGAAGCCATCTCGATGACAATAAAGTAGACGATCAAGTTACCTCCATGTGGTGGTGAGAAGTCAGGTCGATGACAAAATTGTAGATGATTAAGTTACCTCCATGTGGTGGTGAGAAGCCATCTCGATGACAATAAAGTAGACGATCAAGTTACCTCCATGTGATGGTGAGAAGCCAGGTCGATGACAAAAATGTAGATGATTAAGTTACCTGGGTGTGGAGGTGAGAAGTCAGCTCGAAAATTAAAAATTAGATAAACAAGTTACCTGTATGTTTCCGAGGTTGGGAACCTGACAGACCACAAGGGCACATAACTGGCTCCGTCAATGGCCAGCAGTGTGGAGTTGTACATGGGGACTATGATGTCCTCGATGCCGTCCTGGGTGATGTCCGCCAGAGCTGGCGGTGTCATGAAACCTTTGTGTGTGTCAGACGACAACTTGACCGCCTGGCAGATGACCCAAACATTAAAATAAATAAAAGTCAAATCAGATTTCACCTGTGGGCTTGGGCTACCTCCCCTTCCCACACAATTGTGTAAATACAAAGGGGCACCACTCTCCTCAACGATGAATCAGCGTTCTCTTATTTAAGCATCATCATCATGTAACATAGCGTGTCGTTGGGTCACCACTTACTGTTGACTGTTTGTTCAGATACTTCCACCTTTGACGGTCATATGGCTGCATGCCTAAGACCTGCCCAATCAGTCTGGTTCGGTAACCAGGTCTTTCTTGGTCTCCCTCTTGTCCTCTACCGCACTTTTTAAACCAGGTCTTTCTTGGTCTCCCTCTTGTCCTCTACCGCACTCTTTAAACCATGTCTTTCTTGGTCTCCCTCTTGTTCTCTACCGCACTCTTTAAACCATGTCTTTCTTGGTCTCCCTCTTGTCCTCTACCGCACTCTTTAAACCATGTCTTTCTTGGTCTGCCTCTTGTCCTCTACCGCACTCTTTAAACCATGTCTTTCTTGGTCTGCGTCTTGTTCTCTACCGCACTCTTTAAACCATGTTTTTCTTGGTCTCCCTCTGGTCTGCACTCTTGTCCTCTACTCCTCTTGTCTCGCACTCTTTAAACCATGTCTTTCTTGGTCTCCCTCTTGTCCTCTACAGCACTCTTTTAAACCATGTCCTTTCTTGGTCTGCCTCTTGTCCTCTACCGCACTCCTTTAACCATGTCTTTCTTGGTCTCCCTCTTGTCCTCTAACTCTTTACCATGTCTTTTTGGTCTCCCTCTTGTTCTCTACTGCACTCTTTAAACCATGTCTTTCCTTGGTCTGCTCTTGTCCGCTACCACACTCTTTAAACCATGTCTTTCTTGGTCTGCTTCTGTTCTCTAACGCACTCTTTAAAGCCTGTATTTCTTGGTCTGCTCTTGTTCCTATACCACTCTTTAAACCATGTCTTTCGGGTCTCCCTTCTTGTCCTCTACCGCACTCTTTAAACCATGTCTTTCTTGGTCTGCCTCTTGTCCTCTACCGCACTCTTTAAACCATGTCTTTCTTGGTCTGCCTCTTGTTCTCTACCGCACTCTTTAAACCATGTCTTTCTTGGTCTGCCTCTTGTTCTCTACCGCACTCTTTAAACCATGTCTTTCTTGGTCTCCCTCTTGTCCTCTACCGCACTCTTTAAACCATGTCTTTCTTGGTCTGCCTCTTGTCCTCTACCGCACTCTTTAAACCATGTCTTTCTTGGTCTGCCTCTTATTCTCTACCACGCTCTTTAAACCATGTCTTTCTTGGTCTCCCTCTTGTCCTCTACCACGCTCTTTAAACAATGTCTTTCTTGGTCTGCCTCTTGTCCTTTACTGCGCTCTTTAAACCATGTCTTTCTTGGTCTCCCTCTTGTCCTCTACCACGCTCTTTAAACAATGTCTTTCTTGGTCTGCCTCTTGTCCTTTACTGCGCTCTTTAAACTGTTTCTATCTTCGTCTGCCTCTTGTTCTCTACCGCACTCTTTAAACCATGTCTTTCTTGGTCTGCCTTTTGCCCTTTACTGCGCTCTTTAAACTGTTTCTATCTTCGTCTGCCTCTTGTTCTCTACCCCGCTCTTTGAACCATGTCTTTCTTGGTCTGCCTCTTGTCCTCTACCGCACTCTTTAAACCATGTCTTTCTTGGTCTGCCTCTTGTCCTCTACCGCACTCTTTAAACCATGTCTTTCTTGGTCTGCCTCTTGTTCTATACCGCACTCTTTAAACCATGTCTTTCTTGGTCTCCCTCTTGTTCTATACCGCACTCTTTAAACCATGTCTTTCTTGGTCTCCCTCTTGTTCTATACCGCACTCTTTAAACCATGTCTTTCTTGGTCTCCCTCTTGTCCTCTACCACGCTCTTTAAACCATGTCTTTCTTGGTCTCCCTCTTGTTCTCTACCGCACTCTTTAAACCATGTCTTTCTTGGTCTCCCTCTTGTCCTCTACCACGCTCTTTAAACCATGTCTTTCTTGGTCTGCGTCTTGTTCTCTACCACGCTCTTTAAACCATGTCTTTCTTGGTCTTCTTCTTCTCTTCTTCTTTCGTTCGCATGAAATAAATTGTCTATATCTGCAAAGCTGTCTCTAGTATGAATTTCACTGTCTTTTGTAATTCACTAAGCGGCCCGTAAAGTTTGACTTCCACAAGTGTCTCTTTTGGCCAAAAGTTTTGCCTGAAAGCGTTGAATCTGGGACAGTCTTGAAGGATGTGATCTGTTGTTTCAGGTGCCAGTCCACAAGTACACATGGCTGATTGGCCAATCTTAAATTTGTTGTACATGTGGGAGCGAAGTCGATTGTGCCCTGTTTCTAAGGCGAAGGGATAATGACTTGCTCTGGTCTGTCCATAATATGGTAATCATCTTGTGCCAGTTTCGGTGGCATTCTGATTGATTTGATCATTCTCTTCTTCTGTTGATAAGAGACTGTATGTCAGGTTGTTCTTCAGTTGCCCTTCCTTAGCTAGTTTATCAGCTTTTTCGTTTCCGGGAACTCCACAGTGGAAGGTATCCACTGCATTACTAATTTACAGCGGTTGCCTAGTTCGGATAATAGTGTCCGTATGCTTGGTAATTTTCCAGACTGGAGTGACTGAAGTACTGCTTTTGCATCTGTCAGGAATACCACTGGTTGTGAAAAATACCCTGTATTTAGTAGTTTCTCTGCCGCTATCTTGATGGCTTGAACTTCTGCATCATAGTTGTGACAGTGCTTTCCCGTTGGTAATTTGGCTGTATCCCTGGTATTATTAGGATACTCAATGTACACTCCCGCACCTCCGTTTCTGACTGCGCTTTCTGCTGACCCATCTGTGTAAACACGGACCCAGAGGTTCTACGGGTATTCATCATCAAGTAGACTGAGGGTGGCTGTTTTGCGCTGCACACTGTTTTGTTCTTCCTTGTCAAATACCCCTTTCACTTCAGTCTTGATGTGTATTGGAAACTTATACTCCTCTCTCCAGGGGGTCCGTTCTGGGACAGCATTTAAGGATCTATCAGTTGCAGGTAAATCAGTGGTTTGTCTGCCGAGCCGTTTGGCCTGGTGGATAAAACTACTTCTCTTTAGTCGTCCCAAAGCTAAATTTTGGAATCTTTCATTCATAGGGTGACTGGGCATACTAAGAAACTTTTCTGCTTGTAAAAGCATCTTGGTGTCTCTGCGTTCACTCAGTGCTTGGGTCATCCCCCATTTTCTCCATCACAGCTATAGGTGTTTGATTTCATACTGCCTGTGGTAACTCTGAGTGCTTGATTTTGCACTTTGTCTAATTCTTGCAATGTGGTTTTTGATGCCGAACTCCATGCTGTTGATCCGTATTCAAGATGTGGTTGAACACTTTGTTTGGTAAACTTTTCTAAGTATTTTCCCCGCTAGCACCTCATGTGGTTCCACTTAGTTTTCTCAGAATGGATACCCTCCTTCTGGCTTTGGTTGCTGCCTTGTTGATGTGTTTTTCTCCATGTTAATCTATCATCAAACGTTACGCCGAGGTATGTGGGCTCCTTATCCTCTCTCAGGGGTACTCCATTTATGTGCATGACACCTGATTTTTGTTTAGGAGAAAGGGTAAAGAGGGTGGTGCTGCATTTGCCTATGTTGATGCTGACACACCATTTGTTGGCCCAATCAGCCATTGCATCTATGGCTCTTTGTAGCAGCCTGGTGGCCACTGTCGCATTTTCATTTGTACACCAGAGTACCAAGTCATCAGCATACATTGCAGCTTTAATTCCATGGGTTAGTTCAGAAAGCAGGTCGTTGATATAGACTAGGAAGAGTGTGGGGGACAGAACACCTCCTTGTGGGACGCCATGGCGCAGCAAAACTTTCTTACTCTTAAGTCCATCTATCTGTACTCGGGATCTTCTGTTATACAAGTATGCTTTCACCCATTTGTACATTCTCCCATTCACCCTGCAGTCTCAGTTTCTTCAGTAGACCTTCTTTCCAGACCTTGTCAAAGGCTTTCTTCAGATCTTTCCATGCCGTTAGCACTAGCTTCTTTTCCTGGAAGGCATCCTCAATTTCTTGTGAAAGGTAAGTTGTCTGGTCTTCTGTGGAGTAGCACTGTCTAAATCCTGCCTGCTGCGGCGTGAAAATGTTTTCACTTTCCAAGTACCACTGGAGTCTAAGGTTGACAATACGTTCCATTGTTTTACAGAGGCAGCTGGTAAGACTGATCGGTCTATAGCTGGAGGCATCAGAACTGTCCTTTCCTGGTTTAAGCAGAGGTATTGTGATTGCTTCTCTCCATATTTGAGGAACTTTGCCACTGGTCCAACAATGATTAAAGATCTGTAGCAGCTTTTTTTTTTTGGCAGTTGTTCCAAGGTTCTTGATCATTTCGTTGGTGATACCATCAATTCCAGGTGATTTTCCCATTCTCAGCTTTGATATTGCTAACTCTAACTCGCTGGATGTAAGTGCTGCCACCAGTTGCCTCAGGAATTATATCTTTTTGTCTTATATGTTGTTTGTTTTCTTGAACCTCTCGCTGTTTCTCTGGGCTGACATTAATGTTGCTGTCTTCTGCAAAGGAATCTGCAAAGTGGTCAGCTGCCTGTTTTCTTGTTAGGATGGCTCCCTCTTTGCATAGTGCAATATTACCATTTCTTCCTGTATTCTCATCATTAAATTTGCCTAATTAACCTCCACAACTCCTTGTGTCTCTTTCAAAGTTTAGAGACTTTGTCTTTTCTTGCCAGCTTGCCCGTCTAGCCTGCAGTTTGGCTCTTTGAAATTTGGCCTTTGAATGTTGGTAGTTGTTAAACTGCTCTTGACAAGGTCTGGTCTCAGCTTGTTTTCATTCTGTTTCCATATTGTTGTGCAGTTGCTCCAGATCGCAATTCCAGTACGGTTTGTATTGTTTACGCGCACCTCTTGGAACTGCTTCTAGGGCTGCCTGCAGCATGCGTTTGCTCAACTCTTGGACTACTTTTTCTACGTCGTTATCTGTGTTTAGATTTTCCAGCAGAACATTTGTGCGAAGCTGATACAACTTCCAGCCTGCCTTCTTAAAATTCCACCTTGGCAGTGTGCTGCTCTCTCTTACAGACTGGCTTTCTATAGTTAGAAAGACTGGCATGTCTTTCTTGGTCTGCCTCTTGTTCTCTACCGCACTCTTTAAACTATTTCTTTCTTGGTCTGCCTTTTGCCCTTTACTGCGCTCTTTAAACTATTTCTTTCTTGGTCTGCCTCTTGTTCTCTACTGCACTCTTTAAACTATTTCTTTCTTGGTCTGCCTCTTGTTCTCTACCGCACTCTTTAAACTATTTCTTTCTTAGTCTGCCTCTTGTTCTCTACCGCACTCTTTAAACTATTTCTTTCTTGGTCTGCCTCTTGTTCTCTACCGCACTCTTTAAACCATGTCTTTCTTGGTCTGCCTCTTGTTCTCTACCGCACTCTTTAAACTATTTCTTTCTTGGTCTGCCTCTTGTTCTCTACCGCACTCTTTAAACTATTTCTTTCTTGGTCTGCCTCTTGTTCTCTACCGCACTCTTTAAACCATGTTTTTCTTGGTCTGCCTCTTGTCCTCTACCGCGCTCTTTAAACCATGTTTTTCTTGGTCTGCCTCTTGTTCTCTACCGCACTTTTTAAACCATGTCTTTCTTGGTCTGCCTTTTGCCCTTTACTGCGCTCTTTAAACTATTTCTTGGTCTGCCTCTTGTTCTTTACCGCACTCTTTAAACCATTTCTTTCTTGGTCTGCCTCTTGCCCTTTACCTATTGTTTAGAGAGGCTCTTAGATCTTCTTACATGTTATTTAGATAAGCGTGAACAAATTTCATATTATTTCAAATATGTTATTGAATGTAGTTGCTATTCAGCACGCTATTGCTATTGCCTACTTCAAAACGTTTTGACCCATAGAGCCCCATTTTCCGAGACTATTTGTACGTGAATGAGGCCAGCCCTGAGTCTCCCTTTCCCGGACACCCCCCCCCCCCCTCTTCCCCAGCTGGCGCCCGTAAGACAAATTGAAAAAATGTAAGTAAAAATAAACGATGCTTCTGAAGCCGTTTGCGGATTGGCTTACCATATCTATCTTGCCCTTGAGCAAGCTAGTGACGTCTATGCTCCACAAGGACCCATTGTGGGTTTCCCCTCCGGTGCCAAAGAGGAGAACCTGGGATCCATCCTGGCGCATCAAGAGTTGAGGGGAGTAATAAGATTCCCTATGATCAGGGACCCCCACCCATCTCAGCAGGGTGCCGGTTCTGCCACTGACTACAAGGATCCGACCGGAGAGGCGATGAGGACTTCCTGGAAACAGAGATGAGAAACCCACATGTTAATTGATTACTGATGGAAACAATTAAGCCCAGTTGGGAAACGCTTGTGGTCACAGAAACGGTAACATAAATACATTAGTATGTACTGCTTTACACTTATAACCAGAGTTAGAATTCTGTCGACACCTAAGCAGTATAACAATCGAAAGTTATAATCATCATAGCAAGACTCGAACCTGTCTTTCTCTAAATATCAAGTTCGTTAAAAGTCGAAGAACACTTGCTGTAGCAGCGAGAAGCCGTTGTCGTCAAAAGTCGAAGAACACTTGCTGTAGCAGCGAGATGCCGTTGTCGTCAAAAGTGGAAGAACACTTGCTGTAGCAGCGAGATGCCGTTGTCGTCAAAAGTCGAAGAACACTAGCTGTAGCAGCGAGATGCCGTTGTCGTCAAAAGTGGAAGAACACTTGCTGTAGCAGCGAGATGCCGTTGTCGTTAAAAGTGGAAGAACACTTGCTGTAGCAGCGAGAAGCCGTTGTCGTTAAAAGTCGATGAACACTTGCTGTAGCAGCGAGATGCCGTTGTCGTTAAAAGTCGAAGAACACTTACTGTAGCAGCGAGATGCCGTTGTCGTTAAAAGTCGATGAACACTTGCTGTAGCAGCGAGAAGCCGTTGTCGTTAAAAGTCGATGAACACTTGCTGTAGCAGCGACATGCCGTTGTCGTTAAAAGTCGATGAACACTTGCTGTAGCAGCGAGATGCCGTTGTCGTCAAAAGTGGAAGAACACTTGCTGTAGCAGCGAGATGCCGTTGTCGTTAAAAGTCGAGAGAACACTACTGTAGCACGAGATGCCGTTGTCGTTAAAGTCGATGAACACTTTGCTGTAGCAGCGAGAAGCCGTTGTCGTTAAAAGTCGATGAACACTTGCTGTAGCAGCGAGATGCCGTTGTCGTTAAAAGTCGATGAACACTTGCTGTAGCAGCGAGATGCCGTTGTCGTCAAAAGTGGAAGAACACTTGCTGTAGCAGCGAGATGCCGTTGTCGTCAAAAGTGGAAGAACACTTACTGTAGCAGCGAGATGCCGTTGTCGTCAAAAGTGGAAGAACACTTGCTGTAGCAGCGAGATGCCGTTGTCGTCAAAATTCGAAGAACACTTACTGTAGCAGCGAGATGCCGTTGTCGTCTGAAGGCGACATGTTCCCGTCCCGGGATAGCAACTACTGTTTTCCATGTTTGTTTTCTTGTGTGTCCACCTCACTGTACTTGGTGTTTAGTCATGGCTGAGTGATGCTGTTGACTGGTTATTTTGCTAGTAACTTTGCTGATTGATTAACTAGATGACTTGATTTAACTAAAAGTCAACTAGATGACTTAATTCAACTATAAGTCAACTAGATGACTTGATTTAACTAAAAGTCAACTAGATGACTTAATTCAACTATAAGTCAACTAGATGACTTGATTTAACTAAAAGTCAACTAGATGACTTAATTCAACTATAAGTCAACTAGATGACTTGATTCAACTATAAGTCAACTAGATGACTTGATTCAACTATAAGTCAACTAGATGACTTGATTCAACTATAAGTCAACTAGATGATTTGATTCAACTATAAGTCAACTAGATGACTTGATTCAACTATAAGTCAACTAGATGATTTGATTCAACTATAAGTCAACTAGATTACTTGATTCAACTATAAGTCTAGATGACTTGATTCAACTATAAGTCAACTAGATTACTTGATTCAACTAAAAGTCTAGATGACTTGATTCAACTATAAGTCAACTAGATGACTTGATTCAACTATAAGTCAACTAGATGACTTGATTCAACTATAAGTCAACTAGATGACTTGATTCAACTATAAGTCAACTAGATGACTTGATTCAACTATAAGTCAACTAGATTACTTGATTCAACTATAAGTCTAGATGACTTGATTCAACTATAAGTCATCTAGATTACTTGATTCAACTATATGTCTAGATGACTTGATTCAACTATAAGTCAACTAGATGACTTGATTCAACTTTAAGTCTACTAGATGACTTCATTCAACTATAAGTCAACTAGATGACTTGATTCAACTATAAGTCAACTAGATGACTTGATTCAACTATAAGTCAACTAGTTATTAAATTAGAAATTTCCTTTGTGAATAAATGACAGCCGAGATAGTGTTAACTAGGTCACTCAGGTAAGCCAGTAGTTACATAATTACAGGGTGTTCGTTTCGGGACTGCCTTTGTTCAGAATAATGCCGTTCCTATTTGTTGTAATCACCGTCTGTACAGCTGATGCAACATAAACGGCTTTAGTATGTTGTCTGTACAGCTGATGCAACATAAACGGCTTTAGTATGTTGTCTGTACAGCTGATGCAACATATACCACTTTAGTATGTTGTCTGTACAGCTGATGCAACATAAACGGCTTTAGTATGTTGTCTGTACAGCTGATGCAACATAAACGACTTTAGTATGTTGTCTGTAGAGTTAATGCAACATATACCACTTTAGTATGTTGTCTGTACAGCTGATGCAACATAAACGGCTTTAGTATGTTGTCTGTACAGCTGATGCAACATAAACGACTTTAGTATGTTGTCTGTAGAGTTAATGCAACATAAACGGCTTTAGTATGTTGTCTGTAGAGTTAATGCAACATATACGGCTTTAGTATGTTGTCTGTAGAGTTAATGCAACATATACGACTTTAGTGTGTTGTCTGTAGAGTTAATGCAACATATACGACTTTAGTGTGTTGTCTGTAGAGTTAATGCAACATAAACGGCTTTAGTATGTTGTCTGTAGAGTTAACGCAACATAAACGACTTTAGTATGTTGTCTGTACAGCTGATGCAACATAAACGACTTTAGTATGTTGTCTGTAGAGTTAATGCAACATATACGGCTATAACATGTTTGTAGAGTTAATGCAACATATACGCCTTTAGTATGTTGTCTGTAGAGTTAATGCAACATATACGGCTAAAACATGTTTGTAGAGTTAATGCAACATATACGCCTTTAGTATGTTGTCTGTAGAGTTAATGCAACATATACGGCTAAAACATGTTTGTAGAGTTAATGCAACATATACGCCTTTAGTATGTTGTCTGTAGAGTTAATGCAACATATACGGCTAAAACATGTTTGTAGAGTTAATGCAACATATACGGCTATAACATGTTTGTAGAGTTAACGCAACATATACGACTTTAGTATGTTGTCTGTAGAGTTAATGCAACATATACCACTTTAGTATGATGTCTGTAGAGTTAATGCAACATATACCACTTTAGTATGTTGTCTGTAGAGTTAATGCAACATATACCTCTTTAGTATGTTGTCTGTAGAGTTAATGCAACATATACGGCTTTAGTATGTTGTTTGTAGAGCTAATGCAACATATACGGCTTTAGTATGTTGTCTGTAGAGTTATTGCAACAACTACCACTTCAGTATGTTGTCTGTAGAGTTGATGCAACATATACAACTTTAGTATGTTGTTTGTAGAGTTAATGCAACATATACCACTTTAGCATGTTGTCTGTGGAGTTAATGCAACATATGTCACTTTAGTATGTTGTTTGTAGAGTTAATGCACCATATACCACTTTAGTATGTTGTTTGTAGAGTTAAATCAACATATACCACTTTAGTATGTTGTCTGTAGAGTAAATGCAACATATACGACTTTAGTGTGTTGTCTGTAGAGTAAATGAAACATGTACGGCTTTAGTGTAATGTCTGTAGAGTTATTGCAACATACACCAATTTAGTATGTCGTTTGTAGATTTAATGAAACATATACGACTTTAGTGTGTTGTCTGTAGAGTTAATGCAAAATGTACGACTTTAGTGTGTTGTCTGTAGAGTTAATGCAACATATACGACTTTAGTGTGTTGTCTGTAGAGTTAATGCAACATATACGACTTTAGTGTGTCGTCTGTAAAGTTAATGCAACTAATACGTCTATAGTATGTTTTCTGTAGAGTTAATGCAACACATACGACTTTAGTGTGTTGTCTGTAGAGTTAATGCAACATATACAACTTTAGTGTGTTGTCTGTAGAGTAAATGCAACATATACGACTTTAGTGTGTTGTCTGTAGAGTTAATGCAACATATACGACTTTAGTATGTTGTCAGTAGAGTTAATGCAACATGTACGACTTTATTATGTCGTCTGTAGAGTTAATGCAACATATACGACTTTAGTATGTTGTCTGTAGAGTTAATGCAACGTATACGACTTTAGTATGTTGTCTGTAGAGTTAATGCAACATATGCGACTTTAGTATGTCGTCTGTAGAGTTAATGCAACATATACGACTTTAGTATGTTGTCAGTAGAGTTAATGCAACATATACGACTTTAGTGTGTCGTCTGTAGAGTTAATGCAACAAATACTGCTATAGTGTGTCGTATGTAGAGTTAATGCAACAAATATGACTTTAGTATGTCGTCTGTGGAGTTAATGCAACATATGCGACTTTAGTATGTTGTTTGTAGAGTTAGTGGAACATATACCACTTTAGTATGTTGTCTGTAGAGTTAATGCAACATATACGAATTTAGTATGTTGTCTGTAGAGTTAATGCAACATATACGACTTTAGAATGTCGTCTGTAGAGTTAATGCAACATATACGGATAAAGTGTGTAGTCTGTAGAGTTAATGCAACATATGCGACTTTAGAATGTCGTCTGTAGAGTTAATGCAACATATACGGATAAAGTGTGTAGTCTGTAGAGTTAATGCAACACATGCGACTTTAGTGTGTTGTCTGTAGAGTTAATGCAACACATACTGCTATAGTCTGTCTTATTTTGGGGAGTTTTTCACATTAAATTTCTATTCACACTGAATTCTACTGGGTACATTTCTAAAAGTATTTGGAGGGAGCATTTGAGAATTAAGAAATGGGACAATAAATTGTTAAAAAACAATTTTTGAATACCTGCCACTGTTAAGGAACACACGCTCAACGAAAAAAGACTTGTTTCAACAGTTAACACCATTATAGCCAAGATCAGTTACTAAAACACCGACATATAGCAGTAATATTCTAAACTAACGGCACATGGCGCTTAGAACATGACGTCATCCACACACCTAATTGTTGTGTGCAATTTTTGGTTTCAAACAAAATTTGCAGTCATTAATCATACACAATATTAGTAATTTTTCTTCATTATTGCGTTAGCCAGCTGTAAACTCTGGTGGAAAGTTCTGGTTGTTCGTCCATTTCTGGACTGCAGTCCTGTTCCAGAACCTGAGTGTTGCATATGCATCTGTTTGACAGATCTGAACATTTGTGAGCAGACTGTTGGTTCCTTGCCTCTCAGGCAGATGCACTCCGACTTCGAAGGAAGCTCCCAATTAGTCGACTCTTACGACATGCTTTTGGGTAGGCAGTGGGTCTGTTCTTGTTTTCCCTATAACAGGGCCCCTGAACCCACACGGGGGAGTTAGTTATTTAACTAGAGGTCTCCTTCGTAAATCAATTTCAGCTGTGATAGCGCTGTGGCTGGACTCGAAGGTCCTCCGTTATAATCTGTATTCAGACATTTCTTTAAACAGATCTTAGCTCCCAGGTCGACCCAAACAAAAGGGTAACAAGGAAAACGTCATGGGAAGTCAAGTCGACCACTTCAACCCTCCCCCCCCCCCCCCCCCGATTGCCAATTGGTCTGTAAATAAAATGCATATATCCGATGCAGTTCTGGCGAAGAAGGGTTCTTAAAACTTGATGTCGTGGTGATTTCTCCTTACAACTTGATGTCGTGGTGATTTCTCCTTACAACTTGATATCATGGTGATTTTTCCTTACAACTTGGTGTCGTGGTGATTTCTCCTTACAACCTGATGTCGTGGTGATTTCTCCTTACCACTTGATATCGTGGTGATTTTTCCTTACAACTTGATGTCGTGGTGGTTTCTCCTTACAACTTGGTGTCGTGGTGATTTCTCCTTACAACTTGGTGTCGTGGTTATTTCTCCCCACAACTTGATGTCGTGGTGATTTCTCTTTACAACTTGATGTCGTGGTGATTTTTCCTTACAACTTGATGTCGTGGTGATTTCTCCTTAAAACTTGATGTCGTGGTGATTTCTCCTTACAACTTGGTGTCATGGTGATTTCTCCTTAAAACTTGATGTCGTGGTGATTTCTCCTTACAACTTGGTGTCGTGGTGATTTCTCCTTACAACTTGGTGTTGTGGTGATTTCTCCTTACAACTTGGTGTCGTGATGATTTCTCCTTAAAACTTGATGTCATGGTGATTTCTCCTTAAAACTTGATATCATGGTGATTTCTCCTTACAACTTGATGTCGTGGTGATTTATCCTTAAAACTTGATGTCGTGGTGATTTCTCCTTACAACTTGATGTCATGGTGATTTCTCCTTACAACTTGATGTCGTGGTGATTTCTTTTACAACTTGAAATTGTGGTGATTTCTCCTTAAAACTTGATATCATGGTGATTTCTCCTTACAACTTGATGTCGTGGTGATTTATCCTTAAAACTTGATGTCGTGGTGATTTCTCCTTACAACTTGATGTCATGGTGATTTCTCCTTACAACTTGATGTCGTGGTGATTTCTTTTACAACTTGAAATTGTGGTGATTTCTACTTACAACTTGAGCGATTTCTTCTTAAAATTTGATATCATGGTGATTTGTCCTTACAACTTGATGTCGTGGTGACTTTTCCTTACATCTTAATACCATTGTGATTTCTCCTTACAACTTGGGGGATTTCTTCTTAAAACTTTATATCATGGTGATTTCTCCTTGCAACTAGAGTCATTTCTCCTGAAAAATCAATACTATGGAGATTTCTCTTTACAACTTAGGTGATTTCTACTTACAACTAAGATGACTGTCTAGGCTTATCGACAGGCCGCATGATGATGATTTTTATGATAATGACGGGAGTCGCAGTAACTAGAAACCTGCTTCCCGTCGCAAGAACCTTAAGTTCGAATCCGTTTGTATTGTAGCACACCTCTCTTCTTTTTTGCACATTGGTGTCACATCCAGGTTCCTCTTTTGGTTAACAGGAGGAGTCGGGAGGTTTTAGACAAGGAGAAAGATGTTTGTGTCGATATTGGTGGTGATGATGATAATGATCTCGTCTCTCTAGTTGCTTGCTCCTCACCTCACTCTGGGGCTTTTATGATAAAGTGTCTTTAAACAACTCTACTTCTCAATGTTCTGTCTTCATTGTCATCTCTAAATGCGATTAATAACGTAAGAAGGGCAGCTAATTTCGCTCTCTACTTTATACTCTTGATGTCGTGTTGTGTTCTTCATTTCTCGACACTTCTTTAAGTGGTTCTTGTATCTGTACTACCGCCTGGCTTCTAGCGCTGTCTGGTACTAACTGTTTAGTCGTCGATTCTAACATCTTATATGTTTCTACCAAATGTGTCGCTGTTAACCATGGATCCATGTATATTAGACTTAGGGTTTACAGTTAGAGTCAGAGTTAGGGTTTACAGTTAAAGAGTCAGAGTTAGTGTTTACAGTTAAAGAGTCAGAGTTAGGGTTTACAGTTAAAGAGTCAGAGTTAGGGTTTACAGTTAAAGAGTCAGAGTTAGTTCTAGTGTTAGTCAGTGTTTATGACGCGGTCAGGGGCTAACAAAAGTCCTAACCCCAGCCCATAACATCCCTATAATATTGGACTTTAAGGTAAACTCCGTCATTTCGTTTGTTTGGGGTTAATTAAAAATATAGTACCGAATAACATTTTGTAGGTACATTGTTAAATAACTTAAGCTGATCTCGGCTCTCGAAAAGTGTTAAGGAAAGTATAAGCGATCGGCTTCATTCTGACCACATCATCCGTGGAATGCGGAGTCCTCTTTAACATGGTTATATATCCCATGTGCCGGATGTGTCACTGGTGTATTTGAGGGTACCTAACTGTCCTGTCTAAATGTCTCAAACTGTCAGCATTTCCCACTTCTTTAGGGCAGCGTTAACAGTGGTGGGAGAGAGGGCATCTTAGCTGGTGCTGCCGCCACGAACTGGACATTACCTACCAACCATTTAAGACTTCGTCGACCTGTGATAGCAAAGGTGAAATCAGACTCTCTTTGTTCCGGAACCTTGTTCTAGAGGACAGGAATACACCTGTTACCTGGTGACAAGCATGTCGTAGACGCCGACTAGTGAAGGGTTTGCTTAAGCCGGATATATTGGACCAGACGATGCATGAACCAACACACAGCGCCGTTAGCGTCCTTTTAACGGCTCAATCAGAACAAGGAGAAAAGGAGGATGGAAAGGAAGACGCGTGTGAGAAGAAGAAATCTTGACTAGAAAACAGAACTGACCGCGGCCCGACCAGCTGCCAAACAGTCCTTAACGCCATCTTTGTTGATATCGTACTGACAGTTCAAGCCGTAAATTTCGTGTCTTGTGTAGAAGCGCCACATCTCCTTGCCTGTAGCTGCCTCCAGGGCCATGACCCCGCCGAAACAAGGCTTGCGACCTTGAAAGTAGATGTCACAGACGATATCCTTTACCCCGTAGCCGTCTGCACCTGCACAGAAGAGAAATAAAAATATCTATGAAAACATTGACCAGGGACCACTATGGTTACACGTGAAATATTTTCATATTTTGGGTCTATCCAAACCTGAAAACTTTCCAGTACTTTTCGGCAAAGTTCTCAAAGATTCAAAAATGTAAATGGTGGTCCAAAGGTTGTTATGTAGAGAAGTTCGCTCTCCTACGAAATACGCCTGGCTAAATCAGAGGGAGCTAAAACCAAGAAGGAAAAATCTGAAATGAAAGGGCAAGAAGATCACAGTTGACAACAGGACAGGGAATGAGCGGTCTAACTTGGAGGACAGAAGCATTCAGCCCAGAGACGGCGCAAATACCAGAACTTTAGTTACTGTGATGAAACGACCTCAGTGTTTTCAGAAGTTAGTACGTGCAATAATTTCTTCTGTTTATAAGAGACATAGAATTTCATTTTCTCATGTAAAAACAATGTCAGCCAGTTTGGAAGTCTGAGTGAATACGGACAACAGGTTTAGGAAGTCAACTATCATGACAGTACATGAGAGGGAAGGCAGGTGTAATGTGGGATATTTTTACCCTGATTGAGAAGGTTAGGTGAGGGGGGGGGGGACGCTCCAGAGTCACCTTAAAATCGAGAGATACCAGATACTCGGATTAACCGAGATTTTCAAGGGAGGGGACGACCACGTGTTACCACGTGGAACAAAGAAGAACGACCACAGGTCGCCACGTGAAACCCAAGAACGACCACGTGTTGCCACGTGGAACGAACACGGGGTATAAGTTCAGACCACAGTCTGATCAAACAGTATGTGTTGACCGTGAGAACGAGAGGGCATGAGAGTGAACCAGTGTGAATGAGGACGTAAAACTGATTGCTGCAAGATGACGACCAGACTACAACATCCTTTAAAGTAAAGTCCATCCAACTCAGTTGTGGGGAACTCAATGCAGTTACAAGAGTCATCTAGGCGGAGATGTGAAACTGAAGACGGAGAACTCTGGAGGGTGAATGTGTCAGGATTCGGTGTGTTGGTGTCTGAACAATGTGTTGCTTGAAAGCTGTTGGAAAGGACATGGACGGGACAGACTATTTAAGTGTTTAGATGTTAATAAACAGTCATGTATCATGGAGACGGTGTCGACTCGTAACGTCTATGTCATCTTAGAGTGTGAGTAACATCATTCATTAGACTACACCCCCTGGACAACATGCCAAAGATCAGAAGACGAATATTGCAGCAGGATATCTAAGACGTCAATGTGAGACATAAGACCTTCAGACTAGACTGGAGAGAATGTGGAAGATGAGGAGGAGAGATGTTACATATATTGTATTAGTATATGCATGCTTAGTGTAAGTATAGATACTACACATATGTGTTTGTTTCTCAGCTCCCGTCGGGGTGAAGACCAGTCTGCTCTGATAGCAGAACTAGAGGGTTACGTGCGCGGAACTACATTGTGGGAGATCGGCAAGCTGGAAACAGGCAGAGAAGGAGGTTAAACAAGCTGGGAAGAATCTGGAATAGGTGGAAAAGCTTGACGGTGCCTCAGGGCTGTCAAAAGGGCCTATCACTAAGTTACGTCCACTCTTTGCTTGTAAACTTATCACCATCATAACTTCTCTAATACCAGGTGCTCAGTTTTTTAGCCGAAGCATCTCATCACTCTCATACCAACAGCCAGTCTCTGTTTGTGTAAACATTACAAACTGGTGAATGTCACATGTGGTGATTGTAACTGGCCCACATGTGTTGATTGTAACTGACTCACATGTGGTGATTGTAACTGGCCCACATGTGTTGATTGTAACTGACTCACATGTGGTGATTGTAACTGACTCACATGTGGTGATTGTAACTGACTCACATGTGGTGATTGTAACTGACTCACATGTGGTGATTGTAACTGACTCACATGTGGTGATTGTAACTGACTCACATGTGGTGATTGTAACTGACTCACATGTGGTGATTGTAACTGACTCACATGTGGTGATTGTAACTGACTCACATGTCCTGACTGTAACTGACTCAAATATCATGATTCTAACTGACTCGCGTATTGTGATTGTAACTGACGGAAATGTCCTTCGACTGACTCATATGTCGTGATTGTAACTGACTGACATGTCATTGTTCCTAACACATATGTCGTGATTGTAACTGACTAACATGTTATTGTTACTGACTCATATGTCGTGATTGCAACTGACTGACATGTCATTGTTACTGACTCATATGTCGTGATTGTAACTGAATGACATGTCGTTGTTACTGACTCATATGTCGTGATTGTAACTGACTCGCATTTCCTAATCGTAACTGACTGACATGTCATTGCGACTAACTCATATGTCGTGATTGTAACTGACTGACATGTCATTGTTACAGACCTATATGTCGTGATTGTAACTGACTGGCATGTCATTGTTACTGACTCATATGTCCTGATTGTAACTGACTGGCATGTCATTGTTACTGACTCATATGTCATGATTGTAACGGACTCGCATGTCTTGAGTATAACTGACTCACATGTCGTGATTGTAACTGACTCACATGTCGTGATTGTAACTGTTTTAAATGTCGTGCTTGTAACTGACTGACATGTCGTAATTGTAACTGACTGACATGTCGTGCTTGTAACTGACTGACATGTAGTGATTGTAACTGACTGACATGTTATTGTTGCTAATCGTGATTGTAACTGACTCGCATGTCATGATTGTATCTGACTCTCATGTTGTGATTGTATCTGACTCTCATATTGTGATTGTAACTAACTTATATGTCGTGATTGTAACTGACTAACATGTCGTGATTGTAACTGACCCACATGTCGTGATTGGTATCTAACTCTCATATTGTGATTGTAACTGACTTACATGTTGTGAGTGTAACTGACTCACATGTCGTGTTTGTAACTGACCCGCATGTCGTGATTGTAACTGACTGACATGTAGTGATTGTAACTGATCCGCATGTCATGATTGTAACTGACTGAGATGTCATGATTGTAACTGACTAGCATATAGTGATTGTAACTGACTTATGTCGTAACTGTAACTGACTGGCAGGTCGTGATTGTAACTGACTCGCATGTCGTGATTGTTAATGACTGAGATATTGTGATTGTAACTGATTTATGTCGTGATTGTAGCTGACTAGCATATCTAGATTGTAACTGACTAGCATGTCGTGATAGTAACTGACTCGCATGTTGCGATTATAAATGACTGAGATATCGTGATTGTAACTGCCTTTTATGTGACTGTTACTGACTTTCATGCATGTCGTGACTGTAAGTGACCAGCATGTCGCGATTGTAACTGACTCGCATGTTCTGATTGTATCTGACTCGCAGAGCATGTTGAGAAGGGTGGAGACTTTTTTATCGCTATCATGCAGATTCCAACAAATGGCAGCCACGCCGCAGACACAAGAGCTTAGATGACCCTACAATAGCTGGCATGTTGCTTTACTGATGCTACTTCAAGAGCTTAGATGACCCTACAACAGCTGGCATGTTGGGGGGTACTGATGCTACTTCAATAGCTTAGCTTCCCTAGAACAGCTGGCATGTTGACTAACTGATGCTCGTTGAGAGCTTAGAAGACCATACAACAGCTGGCATGAAGACTTTACTGATGCTACATCAAGAGCTTAGATGACCCTACAACAGCTGGCATGTTGCTTTACTGATGCTACTTCAAGAGCTTAGATGACCCTACATCAGCTGGCATGTTGCTTTACTGATGCTACTTCAAGAGCTTAGATGACCTTGCAACAGCTGGCATGTTGCTTTACTGATGCTACTTCAAGAGCTTAGATGACCCTACAACAGCTGGCATGTTGCTTTACTGATGCTACTTCAAGAGCTTAGATGACCCTACAACAGCTGGCATGTTGTTTTACTGATGCTACTTCAAGAGCTTAGATGACCCTAAAACAGCTGGCATGTTGCTTTACTGATGCTACTTCAAGAGCTTAGATGACCCTACAACAGCTGGCATGTTGCTTTACTGATGCTACTTCAAGAGCTTAGATGACCCTACAACAGCTGGCATGTTGCTTTACTGATGCTACTTCAAGAGCTTAGATGACACTACAACAGCTGGCATGTTGCTTTACTGATGCTACTTCAAGAGCTTAGATGACCCTACAACAGCTGGCATGTTGCTTTACTGATGCTACTTCAAGAGCTTAGATGACCCTACAACAGCTGGCATGTTGCTTTACTGATGCTACTTCAAGAGCTTAGATGACCCTACAACAGCTGGCATGTTGCTTTACTGATGCTACTTCAAGAGCATCATCTGACCCTAACCTCGCAGGAAGTAACCAGCATTTACACGACATATTGAAAGTGTATGGTTCCCTCCCCCCCCTCCCCCCCCCCCCCCCCCCCACCCCCCCCCACTCCACTCCACAGCTGTATGTGTCTTGGCGCTCTGAAATAGCAGCGTGGCCACACCAGTTGAAAACCAGTTGAAAGTTTTATCTAGGTTAAATGGACGGCAGGGCGCTAAATTTAGAAAGTGGAACCTACGTAGGCGGAAATGAATTTCCTGATAAAAACTTTTGTATCGATCTGATATGGTGGCCGTTTCTCTCTCTCTCTCTCTCTCTCTCTCTCTCTCTCTCTCTCTCTCTCTCTCTCTCTCTCTCTCTCTGTCCTCTCTCTTCCCTCTCTCCCTCTCCTCTTTTTCGTACTCTCTCCAGTCTGTCTGTGTCTGTCTGTCTGTCTGTCTGTCTGTCTGTCTGTCTGTCTGTCTGTCTGTCTGTCTGTCTGTCTGTCTGTCTGTCTGTCTGTCTGTCTGTCTGTCTGTCTGTGTATTAATTGATAAGATCAAGGGTATTTCTTCGCCTTCTTCTTCGTTCACCGGATTTAAACTCCAGCGGAAAGTCGTGGTTGTTCGTCTGTTTGGACTTTGCTTTGTTCCGGGGCATGATTTGTCCCTGTGCATCTATTTACTGACTTTTTGGTTGTGCCTCGCTGGCAGATGCA